GGCTCTGTACAGTACAAAAGGATGCCTTTGTTTTTTGTAATCTTCCTCGAGGTCTGACTTCCTGCGCGCTGGGGACACTGGCCTACACCTAACATCAGGCTTTAAAATGGCCACCCCTATGAAGAGAGGACCCCACCTTCACCCGCCATTGCAGAGAAAAAGAGTGTAGAGTAATGGGCGAGCGGTGTTCACATCGCTACCTGCTGCTCTGGGGGTCTTACTGCAACAACGGCCACCGAGCCCACACTGGAAATTGCGGGGTGCGGGTACCAGAATTTTTTTTTTTTTTTTTTTTAAGAGAAATGACTCTAAATTGGAAAAAAAAAAAAAAAAAAAAGCAAGTCTGTTTTCAAAAGAAACTCAAATCCGGGCACGGTGGCACACGCCTGTAATCCCAGCGCTCAGGAGGCTGAGGCAAGAGAATCCCTGCGAGTTTGAAGCCAGCTTGGGTTACAAAGTGAGTTCAAGGCCAGCCTGAACTGTTGTGTGATCTTGTCTCAAAAAAAAAAAAAAAAAAAAAAAAAAAAAAAAAGACAAAAATAAAATCAAAAGAAACCCTGCAAAGAGTGTTCTATTATAATATCTGTAAGTAATCTGTCTTTTATAAATTAACAAATATTTTTCTTTAGTTTTGAGACAGTTTATAGTGTACATTAACGTTTCGAAATTCTGAAGGATAGAGAATGGGGCTGCGGCTCGGCGGCAGGACACTTGCCCAGCTTGTGCGGGGCCCTGGATTTGATGCTCAGCGCTGGAAAGAGGGAACCTTTGGAACCAAGGGAGGCGGCCGATTCGCCACTCTGCTCTTGGGAGAGAGGCTTGCTGTCGGGAAGATGCTGCAGGCTCCAGCTTGAACGTTGTGCTTGTCACTTGCGCACCCTCCTATGAGCCGACGTAGGGGACGCCGCACGGACGCCCGCTCTCCCCGCTTGCGGACTCCCGCACTGTCCCCTCCTCTGCCTTCGCCCGCCTGCCACGTTCCGTCCCAGGGGCTCAGGGTTGCTCAGCGCAGGGCCGCGGAAGGCTCACTAGAGGGGTCTGTTCGGGTCCCCGCCAGCCCCGAATCTGTGGCCACTAAACCCCTGCCTTCTCTAGATCGTCCGTTTCCTAGGACCCAGCGAAAGCACAGAAAGAATTGTGACAAAGCGCACACTGCCCATGAACGACTTCTCCCTTCCAATACAGGAGTGGCCCGGAGGAGACAGCCGCGGTCTCACCCAGGTAGTGGCTGGGCTATGGCTTGGCAGAGCCGCCTGGGCCCGGGGCGACCAGCGAGGCTCCCTGCAGCGCCCCCTGTGGGCGGAGAGCCGGGCGGCGGGGAGGTCGCGAGTGTTTTCCTGCCCTAGGCCTCAGAAGAGTCGGTCCTAAGTCCTCGCAACTGCAGCGCGATGGGGCGGATAGAGCAGGCGTTAGAATCCAGGGCCGCGCAATCAAATCTCGTTCTGTCCCGCCATTTCTCTGTGGCCAGTGGTGGGGTGTCACCGAGACCCGTCTGTCTCAGCCTTGCCTGTAGAGGGCGCCAAACCTGGCCCGGCTGGCCGCGCTGGCGCAGAGCTGCTCTCCAGAACCTCGGTCTGGTGGCCGAGGGCCGCGAGGGCAGTGTCACGGGCCGGACAGTGTCGTCCGCCCCGCGGTCGCAGATAACTGAGCAGACCCTAAGAGCGGCCATGGACGCCGGCCTCCAGAGTGAGGCTTGGTCAGAGGCACGGCTGTAGTCCATCTGGGTAGACTGAGGCATAGGAGGTGCCTAGGAGGAACAGGGTTCTCTGGCCATCTAAAATGCACGCCAGGCGTCTGTCTGTCCTGTGCTAGGGCGGAGAGTGGCAGTGGCAGCGAGCTCCATCGTAGGTCTCTGGCACCCCTGTCCCCGTGAAGACCTCTACGACAGCTGCTAGCCACGGCTGTCGCAAAGCACAACCCAGGCCCGGAAGTTGACATGTTTTATTTTCATTAATGGAAATTAAAATTTACATCAAAATTTAATTAAAATTTAATTTATAAATCAATGAAAATTGAACAGATGGTTCAATTACTGAAAAACTTTTAAGTGTACTGGAACAGTAAGGATGTGGAGTGGGCTGTAATCCCAGCACTCGGAAGGCTGAGGCAGGAGGATTGCTGAGTTCAGGCCAGCCTGGACTACCAAATGAGTTCAAGGCCAGACTGAACTACATAGTGAGACCCTGTCTCAAAAAGACCAAAAAAAAAAAAAAAAAAAGAAAGAAAGAAAGAAAAGAAAAGTGGGGGCTGGGGATTTAGCTCAGCGGCATAAGCGCCTGCCTTGCAAACAGGCAGTCGTGAGTTCGATCCCCGGTACCGATAAAAAGGAGAAAGACAAAAAAAAAAAATAAAAATAAAAATAAAATAAAAGTGTGGATATTTCTGCAACTGTAAATTTCAAGAACTCTGAATAAGATCAAATATTACTGGTGAAAAATTATTTTAGTTATTTATTTACTTTGCTAAGACTCGGTCTTACTTTGTAGCCCAGGCTGGTCTGGAACTGGAAGTGATCCTCTTGCCTCAGCCTCTAGAGGGCTGGGATTGCAGGTGTGTTGTACCACACCTGTAAAAATGTAACATATGAATTGGGCTCTAAGTGTAAAATTCTCACAGGATTCAAAGACTTAGTATGCAAAACAATGAAAAATTCTCATTAATAATTTACAGTTGCAGCTGGGCGTGGTGGTGCACACCTGTGATCTCAGCAGTTGGGAGGCTAAAGCAGGAGGATCAGTATGAATTCAACACCAGCCTGGGTTACGTAAGTGAATTTAAGGCCAGCCTAAATAGCCAAACCCTGTCTCCAAAAAACAAAAATAAATGTTTACAGTTGCGGTAATATTTGAGTTTAAATACAATGAACCTTACCTGCTTTTTTTTCCTTTTTTGAATGGAGGCTACTAGAAAAAAAGTCTAGGTACGTGCCCAGCCTGGGCTTTCTCTCGTCCCCATCCGGCCCCCTGGCCCTCCACCTGCTTCAGCCCCCTTCCTTCACAGCCTCTCTAGAGCTGCTGTGCCAGCCTGGCCGGACCAGGGTGGTGGCCAGAGGCTAAGGGAGACCCACAGCCCAGCAGGTACAGAGGTGGCAGTGGTCAGGGGGAGACCAGTCTGAGATTGGGGCCACTAACAGGGAAGAGGAAGAGCTCAGGGATCCAAGGCCCAGAGCCAGGTTTCCTGACCAAGACCCCAGGGACTGCTTAGTCACAGCACTGAGCCAAGTGTGGCCGCTGCACACAGAGACCCCAGCTCCCTGGAGAGGCTTGGACTGTCCCCTGCACGGGACGGAACAGGTGGCCCGGGTCTGAGGCAGGGGCCCAGTTGAGCTGGGGAGGCCAGGCGGGAGCCAGTAGGGTCCTCACTTCACCAAAGCCACAGCACTGCAGTGGGCCCTCGGGACGACACTGCTCCTTCACTTGCAGCCCCATGGGGCTTCCCGGCTCCCAGTCAGGCCGTCCTAAGTGTCCAGTATCAGAGGGCTCTGGTAAGGCTTGCAGTCAGACTCTTGGGGTCCCTGCTGCCTGTGCCCCCATTTTCCACCGAAGCTCGAGGTCACACAGAGGAGGGGCGCCCCACCCCCATCCCAGTCCTCATCTGCACACAAGCAGGCAAGTGGCTGGTGTAGCCCTTGGAACAAAGAGCCGCTCTTGCTCCAACCATGTTTGCCCTGCAAACAGAGCAAAGTCCGGGTCTCCTGACCTCAGGAAGCTGGCAGGCGATGGGGTCACTCTGACAGGCTACTGTCTTCAACAAGGCCCCCAAGCCTTTGTTCCAGCCACGCAAGGAACCCCCTGCCATTGCCTCAGCACTTGGCCCCTTTGCTCCCGTCTGAAGTGTTTGGTTTGGCAACAGAGGAGCCCCTCTTGGGGATAGACACAGGGAAAACAGATGGTGACAGAGGTTTCTCTAAGCCTTGTAAAAGCCAATTTAGCTCCTCTCAACATGGGCAGGTACACAAACATGCACTGTGCATACCAAACCGAATGTTACCTTTGAAAATCTCCTTTCGAATAGTGACTTCCAACTGAGGGTGGCAGTGTACACCTGTAATCCTAGCATCCTGGGAAGCTGAGGCAGGAGGATGGCAAATTCAAGGCCGCCTGGGCAATTTAGTGACTAAGGAAGACATTGTCCCAAAATTAAACAAATAAAAAGGGCTCAGGGATGTAGCTCAGTGCAAAAAGCTCTGGGCTCAATCTCCATACTGAAACATGAAACACAACAAACCAAGTTTACTTCTGTTTTCCAATTCCTGCCAGCAGAGCTGTGGAGATTTTACCCAGGGTGAGGGCACATTCAGGCCAAAGATGATTCCAGAGGCTTTGGCCAGGCGCCCACATTCCTTACCCATCAGAGACCCTAAGGAGAACTTGCTATGAGAATCAAGATGATTTTTGTTTTCAGTACAGGGCACCCAGGGGATTCCCAATGAGATACATACCCAGCCCTTTTTATTTTGAGACAGGATCTCACCATGTCTCTAAATTTCCCCGGCTGAGATTTAAATTTGGACTCCTCCTGCTTCAGCTTCCAGACAGCTGAGATTACAGGCATGGACCACAGCTATTTTGTTTTTGATAAGACATCAATGAGGTGAGGCTTGGTTTTATTGGATGTAAGGAATTTTCCATTCAAGCCAGAAGCAGATAGACAGGCCTGACTGCTCTGCCCTCAGTGATGGCTCCTGGGGATGGTGCTCAGCTGGTTTGGGTTCTGGGAGGCAGAACCCAAATCCCAGTGAACAAAGACCTTTCCTCTTCAGCTATTCCTAAGAAGTAATGAAAGCAGTGAAGAAAATACCGTGCAACCTATCATTCAGCCCAGAGCTGCCCCGCTCAAATATCCACCAGGACCAGCAACCAGCCAGTGTCACAAGAGTAAAGGGCCACGGGGCTGGGGGACAGGATGGGGTGGAAAGGCGCGGCCCCTCCTCCCACCCAAAAACTAGACTGTTACATGTGCAGACTCCCAAGTTTCAAATATGGGCAACAAGCAAAAGATTTGTTAAACCTTTTAACTTGGACCTTAGACAAATTCCTAACTTAAAAAACCTTCTCACGCCTACTCAGTAATAAAACTCCAACCAGATGATTACAAAGAAATCGACAGAGAAATAGAAAAAAAGATAGCAGCTTCCACGATACGAAGTCTCCCCACTTAAAAACAAAATCAGTAAACTTTGTGAGTCGGAATTCCTTGAGTTCATCTTTGCGTGAAGAAAGCCAACTGGGTCCCGCTACCGGGGCGATGGCTCCGATGGCTCCGCACTGTTTGGATCTAACCCAAAGGAAGACGTTGCTTGGTCACCTTCGCACTCCTTCCGTGGCACCACAGAGGGACAGGACTGGGCGCTCTGGTACAGAGGACAAACTGAGGCACCGAGCAGGGAGGGGCCTTCTTTAGAATCTCAGAGCCCCTTGGGTGGCTGAGGTTTCCTGTTCTCCCAGTGGCCGCATCACAGAGGGCGTGGTACTGGGCGTGGCCAGCATGCGCAGAGTGCGGAGCGCAGGACTGCATGCGTTTAGCTACTGCTCCTGAGCATGGTTCATGCTGGGGGAAATTCAGAGCTGCCCGTGCTGTCCCCGGATGGCCTTCTCCAGGGTAAGCAGGGTGCACAAGAGATGCAGAGGCGACAGCCCCTGTGAGTGCAAAATAGCCCTGCCAGCTCTGCAAGGAACACAGTCCCCCATCTAACTCAAACTCATAGGCAACAGGATCCAGCCCCACTGGACTGCATCTGCTCCGACCCTGGGTTCAGACCTGACTCCTAGAGCAGTCCCCGGCTTGAATCCCAGGCCCCGAGCTTCACTTGCAGCTGGTGCAGCTCCCAGCATCTCAAAGGGCCTGGCACACCCTGAGTCAGCATGAGAGAGAGGGGCGCTTTCTTCTTGCAGGCAGGAGTTGCTATTTCTGCTGTCCTGCAACACATGGGCATCTGGGCTGTGGCCCAAGCTGCCCCCCACCGCACCACAGTGCATGCTTTCTTCCAGCCTCTTCTGGGAGCCAATGTCCCAGGAAGCCTGAAGCTTTCTGGGGGCGGCTTCCTAGACTTTCACACAAGGTAATCGGTTCCTCCGCAGTTTCTCACAGGTTGCGCAACTGGAATTTTGACGGAACTAAGTCTTTGCTGTCTGAGAGTATGTCCTGCACGTTGTGAGATGCCCACTAAATGCCACAGATGCCCCACAGTCACACTGATGCCCGATAAGCCACACTGAGACACAAGTTTCCAATGCTGCCCAGAGGGGCGGTCTGGCCTCTGGGGGAAAGCTACTGGCTGGCACTGCACCTCGGGCACTGGGAAACAAGCTCCAAAGACCATGCCAGGGTCACTCCCCAGGGGTAGGGTCCAGAGTTCTTGCCAGTTCGTACTCTTGTGCATGTGCCCCTATACCCTAAGATGCCACAGCTCAACAGCTTAGAGAAACTGAGGCACAGAGAGACCAAATGACTTCATTATCCATAGTGACAAGGGGGCAGTTACTAAGTGAGGAGCAGGGCCCGCAGAGGTTTTCCCAGGTCCTGCTGGTCCTGGCAAGTCCTGTGGTCCCACGGGCAACTAGGACTGTGGCAGCCCCCTAGTGGATGGGTCTTCGTAGTTGCTACCAGGCGAGATCAACACAGAGATGACGCCCAGTCTGTAGGACAGAGCAGCGACAGCCCCAGGTCCAGCTTCATCTCGAGTGTCCAGGGAGCTCAGGAGACAGGCGGGCAGCCCTGTCCTGAGCTCTGAACCCAATGTTACAGTCTTCGCAGTCTCCATTAGGGAAGATGGCAGTCAGGGCCAGCTCATCCTCGGAGTCCTGTGGTGTCTCTGGAACAAGAGAAGACAGATGCTGTCAGAAGGTCAGGGAGCAAGGATTGAATGAGAAGAAGTAGGCTTCACCGAGAAGCCACAAAACACAGATCAAAACCTGAAACACTGACATAGCCTCTGACCCAGTGATTCCACTGATAGGATTTTATCCTACGGGAATAATCAGGAGCTGCTGCAGGCATCTTGCTCCAGGTCTGAGGATGAAAGCAATACTGAGGCTGGGTTCCAGGGAGCAGGAAACACTGGGTCCTGGAAAGAGAGGATCAGCTGACTCTGACCCAGCTCCACCCCTAGACCATCTTTTTGATAAAATAATGAGTCCCTTGCAGTGCATGCTGGTTTGAGTCAGGGCTTCTCATGAAGCAGAAGGCTCCCTAATAGTCCCAAGTCAGTGTCCAGAAAAAAGGACTAAATGGGCAAATGTATAAGGCACTCAGCACTGAGCCCTTAGTATAAAATTCTACAAAAGCCAGGTGTAGTGGTACAAGCCTGTAATCCCAGTGCTCAGGAGGCTGAGGCAGGAGGATCACTGTTGAGTTTGAGGCCAACCTGGGCTACACTGAGTGTGTTCAAGGTCAGCTTGAACCACATAGTGAAAAAAAAAAAATCTACAGAATCAAACATGATCGCACTGCTTGATGTGGGGCTGAGACAGTGATGCTAGCACTGGTGAGCAGCTGCAGATCTAAATCATTATCAGCAGAGAAGGCCTGACTGTGAAGCAAAGAAAAAAATCCACTGCTTGTAAACTCATGATGAAGCCCTGTCAGTGAGTGGCAGTGACAAGCTGCATCTGGTGGCAGGCTTTAAATCAGGATCTGACACTTATTTTTGTCCGCATGTGGGCCTCCATTATTTATTTACCACTTCTGTCTGTGCCTCTCCCTAACTACCTGCTTCTCTCTCACCCAGTTTAGTAAGTTGACAAGCTAACCCTGGCCATAGTAAGTAACAAACAAATGTCACTGGAGAGCTTCTTTGAAAAGGAAGACTCAGTGATGGGACAGTAAAAGACGAAAACCACCAACAAAAAGAAAGCTGTATTTAAAAGAAAATATCACGAGGCCTACTTAAAGTAAAGGCTCATTGCAACAGGTGATTCACATTCTCCAGATCTACTTTGTATTCCATGGGGAGGCCGTGAAACCTTCAAGAAAGCCATGAAACTTTCAACGCTGCTCTGCTACTTGGAGACCAAGCACCCTGCACTGAAAGATGAGCCTCTGGAGTTTCCCAAAAGGAAAAAAAAAATGTGAACATAAATTAGAGAAGCAAAGCCTGAAGTCCCCACATCATCAAATGTGTCTGTCCTGAGAGCATCACTCTTCCGACTGGTCAACCGCACTGCTAAGCTGGGAAGCCCTTGCTACTGAGGAAGAGGTGGTCTTGCTTGCTGCTAAGGACATCTGACATTTTTAAAACAGGCCTCAGTTCAAAGGTGTCATATGTTCCTCTTTCAGCTCACATGCTAGCTGGGGGAACTGCTGAAGTAGCAGTGGGTATCGAGGTACAACTATTAGAGAGGGTTAGCGGGTTACTGTGGTACAGCAGCCAGGCTGACCCGTCTACCAATGTTGACAACACAATAATGTCTATTTTTTCTGGAGGACAGGCAGGAGGGTATGCTCCATGCACTTTTGTTACCAACTAACATCACAGCTCCAAAACAACTCTTAGGGTCTGAGTGATTGTACAGCAGGAAGCTGAACTGGTCATGTTGACTGAGTATGGGCACCACAGCGCAGGCGCCTTGATGGGATGGTTTTTGGTTTCACCATGCGGGTTTAAGAGGTTGCTTTTGAATGTGAGTGTACACTGTGCCATCCATACACAAAAGCTGGCTAGCTGGAAAATATTACCTGAGCTTGACAATGTTTTTTAAGAAGTGATTAAAATCATCAACGCCGCTAAAGTTGATGACTTTAACTCCCTTCTGTTAGAGCAGCCCTCTAAGAAGATGGCTGCAGTGCGCATGTGTCTTCTCTTATACAGCAGCAAGATGGCTTTTAAAGGTACATCATGAGCCAGAGGCTCTGAATTGCGAGTCACTACCGAGATTTTTTTTTTCCCTAGGAAAATGGCCACCACATTTCAGTGACACAGAATGGGTCACAAAATTTGCTGAGTCACGTGACACATTCATTGCTCCATGAAGTCCATCTTTCATTTCAGGAGAGAAGGAAACCACACTCAAGTTGGCAGATAAAGTGGCTGCATTCAAAACCAAACTGGAATTAGGGGAGTGACAAGTGAACTCTGGAGTTTTCAAACATTAGCAGAGATTTTGAAAGGGACCAAGACAGGGTCTTTTTTCTCCCAGCGGTTGCGTGATCACCCATTCTAGCTTTCAAAAGACTTTGAGCTTATACTTCCCAGCCATAATAGGTCCCGGAACCAGGAAGCAATGGATCCCAGACCCGCTGTGCATAAATCAGAGGAACTGACTGTGCTAGGCAAAGATCAACTATTTGGGATTGCAAGAGACAACAGCCTTAAAAGTATGTTAGATGCAACTTTAGATCCTCATGTACTCTGGATTAAAGTCAAATTAGAATATCCCCAAATTGTCACGAAAGTGCCGAAAAGCCTGCTTCTGTTTCCAACATTCTATCTTTGTGAAACAGGTTTTCTGCAGTGACAGCCTCCAAAATGAGATTACAGAGTAGCCTGGACAGAAGCACACACTTGGGGCGTCACTGTCTCCTGTCACCCCTAGATAGGACTGTCTAGCTGCAGGAACACAAGCTCAGGGCTCCCACTGATTCTGCACTATAGTGAGCTGCATAATTATTTCATTATGTTACAATGCAATAATAACAAGCAAAGTACCAACAAATGTAACGTGCTTGAATCATCCTGCAGCCACTCCCCCATCCACAGAAAAAGTGTCTCCCAGGAAACCAGCCTCTGGTGCCCACAAAGTCAGGGACTCTGCTCTTAGAGATTATGTGAAGGATACAGGAGGATGTGCACGGCTTACATGCAAACATCTCTCTATTTTATATGAGGGATTTGAGCATCTGCAGATTGTAGTTTCCACAAGGGAACCTGGACCACTCCCCTTGTGGACGGAGGAGTACAGCCCATAGGTGAAATTTCCATCTTAATACATGAAGTCCTACATGAGACTTGTTATATACTCCAGAGAGAGTTACCTGTGATTTATGTAAAGTTGTTAATGATTCCGGGAGTCATTAACACTTTGGTTTTTTATCCCTTTCAGTTTCTAGACACATCCCAAATGATTACCAAGAGGTTGAAATTAATATTTTTTTTTCAGCTGGATATTTTAAGTACTTGCTGTACGCTGCAGATTATTTAAATATCATATTGAAGTAACTTTTATTAAAATTTAAGGGTTGGTCAGTGGCACAGTGCTTGCCTGGTAAGCGCAAGATTATGAGTTTGATGCCCAGCACTAAAAAAAAAAAAAAAAAAAAAAAAAAAAAAAATCACAGGGAGAGGTATGTACAGACAAACAAACAGAATGGTCTGTCCCTAAATATTGATCATAGTTACTGCTGAGTGATAAAATTAAGTGAATGATTTTTAGTATTTGTTTTCCTTTCTTTAATTTTTTTTTTTTTTTTTTAGAAGACAGAGTCTCCCTAAATTGCTAAATTGCCCAGGCTGGATTTGAACTTGAGGTCCTCTTGTCTTGGCCTTGTTCTTTTATAAGCAGGCTTTCAACTGTGCTAGGCAGAGTGCTAAGACAGCTCTGACACTTCCCCCCTTCAGCCACCGGCCCTGTAGGAAGCCCGCCCTGGGTGTGGATGGGAGACACTGTGACCAGGGTGCCTCAGGTGATGTAGGGATGGCTAGTCCCTCCTGGGGTAACTTTTTTAAAAATTTGAGACAGGGTCTCACTATGTAGTTCAGGCTGGCTTTGAACTTGCTTACGTAGCCCAGGCTGGCCTCAAACTCACTGTGATCCTCCTGCCTCGGCTTCTGAATGCTGGGATCACAGGGATGCGCCACCATGCCCAACTCACACTTTATTTTAAGCCACTGCCTATAATCTTTCTCTCCCCTTTTCCCTCACCTCCCTTTAGCAACCCATGATTCACCCCCCCAAAAAACGCTCCTGTGAGTTCCCGCCTCTCCTCACCCACCCTGCCCCTCTGGTCTAGGCTACTACTGTCCATCCTGAGGTCACTGCAGGTGACTCCAAGGTGGACTCTATATTTGGTTTCCATATCCCTGCACTCAGGTCACCTCTCTGACACACCCCATCTTGAGGCACAGCTTGGAAAACACCAGTGGCCCCAGATGTGCCCTTCACTGTCTCCACACCCTGGCCTGGGACTCTGAGGCCTGTCCCCTTTCTGGGCACCACATCCACTGTCATACCTCTGCTCCAGGGCCATCCCTCCAGCTTTGCCATTCCCACACATGGGAAGCCTCCTCCCCTGGCTCAAATGTCATTCACACCATTGTCCTCCACGGACCCCTGGGTATGCCTGTGATGATGCCTATGCCACACTTGGCCACCTTTCTGGCCACCTGCTGCCCAGAAGGACAGAAGCCTTGCAAGGGCATCGGTCCCCTGTCCTTATATCCAGACCTTCCCTCCAAGAAGCCAAAGTACTCACCCTGAGATGACCCTCTGGAGAAGGTGGCATCTCGCTCCTTCCTGTGGCCCCAGGGACCCCAGGCAAAGCAGCTCAGCAGCCCTGGGAGCTGCTGTCTCTCCCAGGCTCCTTCTGCTAGAAAGAACACAAGGCCCAGGAGCAGAGGTCAGCCGGGTCCTGTTCAGCAAACCTGAACGAATGTCAACTGTCCGAAGCTCTCAGTCCCCCTCAAAAAACCCTGCCATTTGGGTACCATGTGGGGGAAACCACAGCAAAAGGAAAAACAAAACAAAATATGGCATGCAATTCACTACATGACACCAATACTCAAAGAGCAGTCATCAGTCCCTCATTTTCAGTTCAAACTGTCTCTTGCCAGGTGTGGTGGTGCATGTCTCTAATCATAGCACTCAGGTGGCTGAGGCAGGAGGATTTGCTCAAGTTCAAAGCCAGCCTGGGCTACAAAGTGAGTTCAAAGCCAGCCTGAACTACATAGTGAGACCCTGTCTTGAAACCAAACAGCAACAACAAAGAAAAAACCCAAAAAACTGTTTCTTAACAACAGGAATACAACAGATCGAAACTCTTTTAGAATTGCATAAAACAATTATAACTTGAAACAGTGTTGATTGGAGTTCTTAAAATTACAGTACCACTTCAGTTATCTGCAGATTACCTTATATCCCTGATTATCTAGAATAAAATCCAGAGGAAATGTTTTTTAAAAAAGATTCAGAGGGCCAGGGATAAAGCTCAGTGGCATAAGTGCCTGTCTGGCAAGCACAAGGTCCTAAGTTGAATTCTTGGTACAAAAAAAAAAAAAAAAGATTTGGGCACTGGGTGTGATCCCACATTCCTATAACCCCAGTACCTGGAAGGCTGAGGCAGGAGGATCACTTTGAGTTCCAGGCCAGCCTGGGCTACACAGTGAACTGGGGGAGGTTAGGTAAAGGACAGCAGAGTCATAGACGAGCCTTTGTTCATAATCTACACCTGGCTGATGTGCTTTTCATTTGTACTTCCTTTTAACAAGATGGATGCTTAGGTTTTCCACCAAAAAGGCAGCCAAAGTAGGCACCACAAACCTAAGTGAAATGCCTCTACCTCAGGGTCAACAACTTAAAAAAAAATTTTAAAAGAACCATTATCAGGTATGGAGGAAAGACATAAACAACAAGAATGGCCTCTAGAAGAACCTTAGCAACACCAGTGCATGGAGCAGGAGCTGCAGGAGCTGGAAAGAGATGGGAGGGTGTGAGTTATTCTCACACCCAAGACCTCTGCCATTCATAGAATGAGGCTTCCACAAAACATTACACTTTCAAAAGTGTTTGCACTTTTTTGTTTGTTTCAGTACTGGGAATCGAACTCACAACCTGGCACTTGCCATGAAGGCACTGGCACCACTGAGCCAAACCCTTAGCTGTGTTCTTGTTTTTAAAAAAAGGCTTATTTTGTCATCCTGCAAGCCAGCCAGGATACTGGGAAATGGAAGGGTATTAAACTAACAGGCGACAGTGACAAAATCACGAGGTAAGAGCAGGGGAGAGCCAAGTGTTCTGGGATTTCACCGGTGGACTTGCAGGCCAGAGTGCAGCGGGAAACTCAGTTCTGATAGAGGGGAGGAGATGCGTCTGGTGCAGAGGAGGAGGGGAGGGAAGGCTGTGCGGGCCCACGCTCCGGAAGCCACAGCCATTGTTGGGATCAGGTCAAAGAGCCCAAAGGGGCCACTTCCCTGTCCGGATGCCGCAGCCCAGATTCCAACGCAGCCTCCAGCCCCAACGGAAAGCGCTTAAGGGCCTGGGGGAGGTTAGGTAGATCGCACTGCGTTTGTGACACTTGTCACATGCAGGTGCCAGGTCTCCCTCGTGGGAAGGAGCCCCGCTCCTGCGCCTCCCCCTGAGTGCAGCAAGTCCCAGCTTGGACAACGGACACCAGGGAGGGAGCAGGCAGCCACACGTGTCGTCATTATCGCTTACTCTTCAGGAGCAGCGGGAGCTCGGAGGTGCTTGCCCTGCAAAGGCCCCAGCCCAGCCTAGCTCCGCGGGGTGCCCACATTCTGACTCTGGGGCCCCTGAGTCCCAAGGTGCGGGAAGAGGGCGGCCTCGGTGGGCACACGGGGGCAGCAGGGAGACGCCACAGTGGGTGGCAGCCTGGGGGGCACCCAGGGGGCGCAGGCGACTCAGCGTCCCAGTCCCTGGAACCCTTCCGGCACCTCTTCCTTGCCTTCTACTGGAGTCCCCCAGGGCTTGCACTCCGCCTCCCTTCGCCTCTCCTGGGGCTCCGACCCTGCCACTCGGCCAGTTCTACACCCACGCACACGACCCACATCTCTGCACCCCAAGGCAATTCCGCCTTCCCGGCCTGTCCCGTCCCCCATCTCTCCCCTGGCTGCGCGTGTCCCCTCGGCTTTCCCTGCCTCCTGCCGAAGCTCGACTGCTTGCCAGGGGCCGCTCCCCCTTGGCCGGGAAGCCTGGTGCTGGGCATCTCCCAGCTCTGGGTCTCAGTTTACCTCGTTGCACAACCAAGGAGGTCGACCTAAAGTGGGATCCCCGTGGGGGCTTCCGCAGCCCCCCGCTCTGGTCCCCGCGCCCGCCAGCCTGCGCAGCTCACCTGGTCGCCCGTGTCCCGCGGCTTGCAGGGCCCTGCAGGCGGCAGCCTGGACGGCCAGGCAGGAGGCCGGGCGGCCGGGGCAGTAGGTGGCCGCCTGCACCTCAGCCCCCGCGCGGCGGCCGAACACTGTGCGCAGCAGCGCCTCCAGCAGCCGCAGCCCGGGCGCCGCAGCGTCCTCCGGACCCGCCTCGGCCACCAGCACCCCGACCAGTGCCGCGCCGGCCCGCAGCCGCCCGCGCACGTCGCGCAGCATCTCCCGCAGGCGGCGCCGCGGCTCGCGCGCGGCCAGGGACGCGGCGCGGCACAGCACGAAGACCAGCGGCGCGCGGATGTCGCGCCCCGTGCCCCGCGCCCCGGGCCCTGCGCCCGCGGCAGCCCCGGCCCCCGGCTTCCCCGCGGCGGTGTCGGGCGGGAACACGGCGCGCGCGAAGTCCCGCAGCAGCGCGCGGCTCGGCTCTCGCTCCCACAGCTCGCCCACCAGCAGCACCTGCCCGCGGCCGCCCGCCGCCTCCACCAGCGCCCGGAAGCGCGGCTCGGCCGGGCCCGCGGGCTCCGGCTGGCGCTGCATGCTCGCCGCTCGCCCCGCCGCGCTGCCCTGCCTGCCCGGGGGTGGTGGCGCCGGCAGGAGGACGCGCCCCGCCCCGCTCCGCCCCGGCCCGGCCCCGACCCCAGCCTGCTCGGGCCGCGCTCCCGGAGGGCGCCGGGCGCGCTGGGCCGGGGAGCAGAGCGGTGCGCCGGGGTGGGGCTTTCTCCCCAGCCGGCATGCGGTGCAGGCCCCCTGCCTGCCATCCGTCCGTCCCTCTGTCCCTCCATCCGTCCAAAAGATACTTACTAAGCACCTACTAGGTACTAACCCCGAGCCGCCGAGGGTGAGGGTAGATCGTGTGGACGCAGACGCCTTCCAGAGTCGAGGTTCTTTTGAATCCTGGAGCAAACGCGGATTTCTGAGGAGCCGCGCAGGTTTGGCGCAGGGCCAGGGTATCCGTGCGCCCTCGCTTTGAGCTGGGGGGTCGGGCACGCGGAGACTGGGACAGGAAGGTGAGCGACGTGAGGGGAAGCGTGGGATGCTGACGCCGCCCCATCATATGGGGGCCTTCGCGTTTACCAGCACCCGAGAAGGCCCGGTCACCCGCTAGGTTCTCACTGCGCTGGGCCGCTGCCCTCCCCTGTGCAGCAGAGCCTATGTGGCAGGTGGGGGCGCCGATGAGGCTCGGTGGGGACATCTCCTTCCTCTTGGGCTCAGGAGGGTGCAGCCTAACTCGCCAGGAAGGATTTTATTGTGGTGTCAAAGCAGTGGCCACAAGCCACAGAGACCTTTATTGAGCGCTGGCAGTGATGCTCCTGCCTCTGAGAAACTCATTTGCACACATTATTTGATTTCACCTAAATTTAAATATCTGCGTGCGGCTGGTGCCTGAGGCTCTTTCTTTCCCCATGTGTAGTTTTACACAGTAATAGACCAAAGCCCCGTTAATAATACTCAGCCAGTCTTCCTGTGCAACCTCTAATCCTCTCCTCCAGGCACGCTGTCTCCTGCCCTAATTACGCTGACCTCTCCCTCGGAGGATTTTTTCGAGTCCCCGAAACAAATCTTTCTTGAGCACCTACTTACTGTGTGTGAGAAATGGCGACCCAAAGCTGCACTGGACGTCAGCCCCCTACATGAGGGGAGGAAGGCCCCGCGGCTGTGTATTTGATCACACCAGTGTTTGGGGGCAAAGCCTGAAGCTTGATGGAGACCCTTCGGCTCTTGGATTACGGTGGACGGGTAGCTCAAGGCAGAGCTGAGATTGGGGGCCAGAGGGAGAAGCCCAGGGTTGGACCCTCAAGGGTTCCACAGGCACCAGGTCTAAGGTGTGGCCATTCAGCCTGTGTGTAGCTATGGATCCTGCAAGTTGCCCTCTGTGGAGCTCGGAGTGGGGGGGACAGAGATGATCAACAAGGAACACACAAGCAACAGCTTTGGGTTGGCGACTCGGAAACTACTGGAGAAAGCGGGGGAACATGTCCACCCGTGCTCTGCTTCTGTACCAAAACGGGAGAGAGGCTGAATGAAAGGGCTCAGAGATGGAGGGAGGAGGCCATGGCTCAGCCCAGGCCACCACCCTGGAGGCCAGTGGCTCTGGGAGCAGAACACCGATGGTGCACCAGCCCAGGGTGCCAGCATGAGGGTGGCAATAGAAGCTCATTGCACCCTGAAGTCCCTTCTCCCCACTTCCTGGTCAAGGATTCTAATGCTTGCCTGACTCAGTTTGGCAAGAGCTGTGGCCAGAGAAGGGGGCTTCCTAGTGACAGGAGGGAGGATGGCTGTGCCCTCAGTCAGGGTCACTCAGCAAAGGCTAGAGGCAGTTTCCACCCTGCACCCATTGCATGAGCTCCCAGGGAGGGGCTCAAGGTAGGACGGAGGCTTCGATGTCCCCTAGGCGCGCCCCTGACAGCCGAGGCCTCTGGTATCTGGGAATGATGTGAGCGAGCTCAAGGGGAAAAATAATCTGCTTTCTGCAAAGTATAAACCAAAGCAGATTTAATGAGTTCAGTTTCATTTCAGCTGCTAAGAATGCACACTAAATAAGAGTAGCACAGATGCAATAAAAGTTTCTTTATCTGTCATGGGGACATTCGCAGCAAACCCCGTATGGCTGATACAGGCTGTGTGTCTGTGTGAGTAGGTTGGTATTTTCCTATCATAGCTTCATGGTCCAAGCTGACAGCTAAGGCTCCTGCCATGACAAATACATTCCAAGGAGCCTGATACTGCAAGGACTGAGGGAGGAACAAAGATCAGGTTGGCTTCAGAACCAGTGTAGCAGCACATTTCTGTAATCCCAGCACTCAGGAAGCTGAGGCAGGAGGATTGCCTTGAGGCCAGCCTGAGCTACACAGGGAGTTCAAGGCCAGCTTTAACTACATAGCAAGACCTTGTCTCAAACCCCTCACATCTAAAGTTATATGGGCTTGAGATAGTTTTTTTTTTTTTTTCCTTTTTTGCAGTACTGGGGATGGAACCCTTGTGCATGCTAGGTAAGAGCTTTGTCCCTGTTCTACTTCCCCTAGCCCTGACTTCAGATTTCATAACATTGACATTTGAGTTAAGAAAAAGTTCAAATTGCTTAAAAATATCAAAGACCTGAGTGTAGTGATGTACACCGTAAGGCAGGAGGATTGCCACAAGTTCAAGGCCAGTCCGGGCTATATAGCGAGCTCCTGCTGGAAAAAATACCAAAGAGGAAAAAAAAGTAAAGTGTCAAAGAAAAATAGCTTCGAACCCAGATTTGGATTTCCAGAAAGGAGATAAAACCAGAAAGGTTGTAATTCATAGCTCCTCTTTAAAAACACTTGGTGGGGAAGCACTCCACAAAGAAGAAAATACACTAGCAGTGCCCAGCAACAATGGCAGGGAAGAGGTGAAATCAAGTGTCTAAATCCACCACACTGGGCGGTGCTGGCCAGGCCCACCCCCAGCCCCACCCTGCCCCAGCCTCGTCCCTTTTATGAGCATAGAGTCGAGGTTATGATCTTGCCCAGGAAGTGGTGAGGAGGGGCAACCAGGTCTCCGCAGCTGGCTGGTGCCAGGGCAGTGGTGGAGGTGGGTGTCACAGGTACCCCAGTCCCCTTTCACCTGGTTGGCACCTGGGGGAGGAGGCCTGGGGGTCCTCAGAGTCTGCACTGGCCCCTACTGCTCTGCAGCACGGACAGGCTCAGGAAGGGGCCGGCACCTTAGGGCCTTGCCACATTGCCAGTGGGCAGAAACAGTGCAGCAGAGCCACCGAGAGGCCTGGTAGGGAAAGGGAGCCTACCCTGTCCCTTCACCTCTGTGAGTACCAGAAGACAGAAGCAGACGCGGGAAAGACCTTGTGACAGTGATCCAAACCCAACCACTGCGCTCTTTCTTTATTCTCTGGGCTCCACACATCCGGCTAACAATTGCCAAACCTCCCAGCCATGGTGGGGGGCAGGTCGGGATGTTAAACAAAGACTGGAATCCGGGCTGGTGCAGTTTGCCTTTATTGTGCTGTGTGTACACAGCCAAGGCTCTGGTATGAAATTAACAGAAAATGACAAGGACCTTAGAAAGGGAAGAAGATTTTGATTTAAGAAAAAGTTCAAATTGCTTTTGCACCAGGAACAGTGCCCCCCACCCCCGCCCAAGCTGGCACAAGGCAGGCGGCTGCTCAGGTGGGGACTGAGCCAGAGATTGGGATTTTCCGGTCTTGACCTAGTTTGCTGGCTCCTTTGTGTTCTCCCACCCTGGTACATGGGATTGAACCCAGCCTGTGCACTGAGTTATAGACTTCAGCCCTTTATCCTTTTGGTTCGTTTTTGCTTCTGTTGTTCCTGCTTAGTTGCCTGGGCTGCTTATAAATTTGCCATCCTCCTGCCTCAGCCTCCCAGAGTGCTCCTGGGTTTACAGGTATGTGCCCCTTACCCAGCTACAAGCTGATGTTTGGGCTTCTTTTGTCTTTCCTGGGAAGGAGGTAGGAGTGACACAGGTCGGTGAATCCTCTTCCATTGGCAAGACCCTCCCGTGGCTGACCTCTGATGTACATTATTTTCCGCACCTCAGACTAGCAGAGCTGAGTTTGCTATTCTGTGTTTTTCAGATGTGGAGACTGAGGCTAGGGCAAGGCTCAGTCGCCTGTCTGAATTCACACAGGGGGAGAAGCCAGAATGGCCAGGTAAGGGAAGGCGCGAGGGCGGACTCCTGTCAGCTGGTGACCTACCCCTACCTCATCCACCAATCCCCCCTCACCCTATTTCAGCCTCTTCTGATGCCAACCTGGCTACCTCCTGAATGACAGAGGCGACCTTGGAGGTCCTGTGGGACTGCAGCTGAAAAAGACAGGCAGAGGAGCTTCTGCGACTCCCTGGGTCCCTGCACGTTCTTCATGGAAGTAGGTGGAAAAGCTGGGTGTGGCAGCACACATCCGTGATCCCAGCATTTGGGAGGCTGAGGCAGGAAGGTCACTATGAATTCGAGAGTAGCCTGGGCTACATAGCAAGACTCTGTCTAAAAAAAAAAGCAATAAAGTTGATGGCAAAGTGATGAGCACAGTGACCATGTCATCTGGAGGTATCCTGGTGCCCGACCCCATGAGAGGGAACATCTTGTCACTGCCAAGTACCAGCAGATGTCCCCCAAAGCCATGAAGGCCCTCAGGGGCTCAGTGGTTTGGGAAGGGTGGAGATACTGAGGGGATACCTCTGTGGAGGTCCCCCGTGAGTAGTGAAATCCACAGTGACCCTGAGTTGCACCTGACGCCCTGAGATGGGGTGTGGGATTCTCTGAGTTTTGCCTGGGGTTGGTACTCTCTGGTTACACAGCGCTTTGGACCAGCTCAGGCTGGCGCAGGTCATTCAGTGGAACCTTGGGTCAGTGTTTGGGCTCTGAGCAGCACTATGATTGAAGTGCAAATGTCTGGAAGCGGCTTAGGTTCAGGGATGAAAGCCTGGTCCTCTATTTCCCACGCACCACATGGGGGTCTGCCCTGGGGCCGGACCTCCGCAGATCCAGCTGTGGTGCAGCTTTTCTGGGCGTCAGCAAGGAGGAGACGGTTTTCTCTGGGACGCAGCCTAGCCAAGCTTGCACGTGTGCGCACGCACAGACACACGTGCACACACACACACCGCCTAGGAGGTCAGCCTCCTGCTGCACACTGCACAGAGGGGCTGTCCAGGTCGTGGACTTCAGATCACAGGTACTGCCCCGCTAGATGGTAAAAGTCCACAGTAAACAGTGCTGAGTGCACTGGGCTTACGCAGATGTGGTCACCTTTGCCCTGCGGTCGGCCTGCGCTGGAGGACACAGGTCTGGGGTCTGGGAAGGCCACCTATATCAGAAATGCCTTTCCACGTGGCTCACCTCTGGTCAGGTGGGGGCGCTAAAGAGCCCTGGTGGGGTGGCCGCTGACTAAATGTTCATCTTCATTCCGGGTGTGTGGCCTCCTAGGGCAGCAATGGATCCATCCCTTCTCTCAAACCTAAAGAGGTTTGAGAGCCTAAAGAGGTCACCAAAGCTGTATGTGGTGGCGAAGGCCAGGCCCGTAATCCTAGCGCTTGGGAGACTGAGGGAGGAGGAGTTCTGTGAGTTCAAAGCCAGCCTGAACTTCAGAGCAAGACCCTGTCTTAAGAAAAAATAAAGGGGCGGGGGGTTTAGCTCAACAGCATCAGCGCCTAGCTGGCAAGCATGAGGTCGTGAGTTTGATCCCTGATACAAAAGAAATAAAGAAAATAAAGACTTGGTGGAGCTGAGCACAGGCCTCCCGAGGTCAGGGGTCTATAAGGAGGCGCTGACCCAAACTGGCCCAGAGGCAGCCATGGTGTAGCCAGGAGCTGAATGTGTCAGGCCCTGGTGTAGCTTGCTTATGGCTTGGGCATGTCCCCCAGGAGACCATGCTCTGGACAGTTGGTTACCAGACTGGCAGTGCTGAGTGGGAGACCTCAGAGGCAGGGTCTAAGGGAGGGTGATTCATGCAGATGATTTGGAGCAGGTGAGCTCTCCTGGGAGCAGGCTGTCATGTGTCGAGGCCACTGTGCATGGCACCCTATGCACCCATCTGGTTGCCTCTCCATTTCTCCACCATGTGGAGCCATAGCAGGAGCTCACCAAATCATCTGCACCATGCTTTTTGGACACTTCAGCCACAAGAATCATGAATTGAATAAACCTTTTTACTTTTGAAAGTATCCAGCCTCAGGTGTTTTGTCACAGGGATGCAAAACAGACTGATACAGCCCCTTCCCTTCCTAGGACACACATGCACTAGCACCACCTGAGCTGGTACCCTGAACTATCACCTCTTCCAACTGAGAGTGGGTCAAAGGGTAACACTGCAGATGGCAGACCCAGTTCTTCCTTTTTTTTTTGCATTGTGTAACATAGGCTGGCCTCAAATTCATGTCGATTTTCTTGCCTCAGCTTCATGAGTGCTGAAATTACAGGTGTGTGCCATCACACCTGGCTCCAAGTTCTTCTTCTTTCCAGCCTGTCCCATACACAGTGAGCTGTGTCCCTCACACAGCTCCCTTCTAATGTCTCATGTTTCTGCAGCCAGGGTCCCTGGGTAAAGAGACACAGGAAGTGTTGTGTTGGGGACTAAAACAAGTGGAACTCACAAGGACCTGATGGGGACTGAGGACCACTGAACATTAATCTTCTGACTGCCTTCCTGGCTCAGGCTAGCTGGGCCAGGGCTCTTCCTGCCCAGGGGTGGTGGTGGTGGAGCAGGGCCATCAAGGAGACAGACTCAGCAGGTGTGGGGACTCCAGCACCATTGGGGCCTCCTCTTGCTGTGTCTGATGTGACCGTCTGGTCTGGTCAGAAGACTTTTGGGGTCACAGTGGGAGGCAGCCAGCTTGCTAGGCTCAGGGTGAGGGCAATGGCTGTGTTGCTGCTACCATCGTGACATCATGGCTTCAGGGACAGTGACATCGTTTAGAGGCAGCCAGACACGTAGCACTGGTGAGCTTCCCGCAGTGAAGAAAGAGTTCTCTGCCTGAAGTGACAGTGTGGTTTATGTGATTAAATAGCTGTGTTTAAAATTTGATTCCAGGGCCGGACATGATGGCACAGGCCTGTAATCCCAGCACACAGGAGGCTGAGGCAGGAGAATCACCATGAGTTAGAGGCCAGCCTGGGAACATGGTAAACTGAAGTCCAGCCTGACCTACACGTGAGACCTTGTCTCAAAAAAGTTGATTTCAGTAACTTTAAGTGGCCACATGTGGCCAGTGGCCTCCATCTCAGGGAGTCAGATCTAGAATGCAGGTTGTCTTCTTTCTCTCCCAAGGGTTATCGCCAACCAAGATTGGCCACCAGCTTTCAAAGGTAAGGGTACAGGGTTGCTGGCTGCAGTGACACTGTGGGCTGAGGTGCAGCTGCTGTGATTGGCTGAGACTCAGCCATTTGTTACAAAAGTTTCTTCCTAAATTAGGCTTCTGGTTAGCTTACCCCCTAAGTTAAATTGCAGCTGTCGTGTGACCACGCAGGTACTCCAGAGGTCACTCACAGAAGAGGCCTCTGAGCTCAGGCCAAGTCCCTAATCAAGGATACAGAGGAAAATCAGGAGAAGAGGGCATGTGGGATGTCCCCTAGGACCCGAAGCACAGGCCCCTCATCCCCGTGAGCTGGGGACCCTCCCGGCCCATGGATGAGTCCAGCCGCTCTGTGTGCCCCTCTGATTGGTGTTTTAATGAGTGAGTTCAAGATAAGCCTGCACTGCATAGCAAAAGCCTGTCTCAAAAAAGAAACCAAAAGAATAAAATTTTAAAAAAAGAGCTGTTAAGCATAGACTCTAAGGCTGAAGGTGTTGCTTTGTGTCCTGGATGGAAGAATTCAGTTGAGACAGAGGAGGCTGAGAACTCTAGGGAGAATTTATTGTAAAGCAGACACTGTGAGACTGGTGCCTGCAAGCTAGAAGGCGGGCAGGGCTGTGAAGACGTCTGCCCTGAGCGCCAGTTTGAGTTACTTTTGTCCCGATGCTTATCACCATGTTACTTAAAAGTTGGTCAGGAATTGTACAATGTCCTCTAACCCCCATAGCCTCAGGGCTTTAGCCACATAAGAAATTTACAGAAGAGGAGCTCTTGATCTAAACCAGGTCCTGGCCCGAGGGAGGGCGGTCTCGAAGAATCTGCTTTCCTCCTTGGGCAGGAGGATTTGGACAGCCAGGAACGGTGACCCTCGTTCTGGAGTTGGGGGGCCAGATGTCAGAAGGTGTGTGACAGTGTGTCACCTTACGCAGGTAGGATGTGTGGTAGGATTGCTTCAGGGCTAAGCTTTACAAAATGCTTACAAATGGATTCTACACCAACTCCATTTATAACCGGTAGTGGATATTATTATTATTATTATTTTGAGGCAGGGTCTGGCTGTGTGGTTTAGATTGGCCTCAAATTCACGGCAGTCCTCCTGCATCAGCCTCTCAAGAGCTGGGATTACACGTGGACACCCCCACACCCCGCTTGCACACTATTTGGTTGCACACTTCTCCCTTTGTCCCTCAGGCCTGCTAATGTCTGACAGTATGATGCGACACTTCAGTTTTTTAGAGAACAGACATATTGCATGGGAGGCTCCCGTTGAAAAGCGGAAACTCCGGTTACACATACTTGGTGTAAGCTCCTGTAGAATCTGGGGAAAGCGTTTTGGTGGGGTGCGAGGGTGCAGAGAAGAGAGAAGGACTATTCCGGGCTCTCTCAATTCTTCCTCCCTGATGCCCTGGGGAGCCTCTGGGGAGGCAGGACCCCCACTCAGCCATGGGGTGGTACCGGGGCCATTTGGGATGGGGCAAGACAGACAAATGCCATGGTCAAGGACACACAGTCACACAGGCATCTGCCAATTCTGCTTCTCGGGGGATCCTAAACAGGTGCTCTAAGAAGGAGGTACAGGCCACTGCCCATCCCTGGGCTGGCGGCGCGGGGGGGGGGGGGCAGTCAGGGGCTCATCCAGGCCCCAGCTGGCGTTCTGGCCAGTGGCAACAATCCTGCCTTGTTCCTGGACACCCTGATGAACATGGCCCTGCAGGGGGGCAGCGCACACAGGGAGGTGCAGGCCAGGGCGAGGGCAGCACAGGGAGACGCCAGAGGATGGAGCCTTCAGCTGCCACCTGTGCCGTGTCACTGTCCAGCGGACCTTGGCACCTACTGTCCTTTCAGGCCAGCATTCTTGGGGTGTGGACTGAATCCTGCTCAGCTCCTAGTGGGAAGGTGGGAACCGGGGACTTGACAGTGTTTGAAAAGAAGGCTCCACTTGGGAGAAATTTGCATTTTCAGGAAGCTTTCAATAGCGGGCTCCTGAATAAGGTCTTTCTGGGTCTGCTGCTTCCTGGGAGAAGGAAGAGAAAGGCCCCCTCCCCCTCTGCCCAAGGAGAAGGAGCTGCCTTTGCCAAGAGCTGGGGCTGCTGGACTGAGGGGTATCCTTCTCCCTGGTTTCCAAGGAGCTGCAGTGCAAGAGGGAAACTCGCCCGGTTCCATGCCAAGCCCTGGCTTCCCAGCTCTGCTGTGCTCGGGGCTCTGACCTGCTGGGCAGCTGGATGGATGTGCCCAGAGCTTTCGGCAAAGGGCCAGGGTGGGGGTACAGTGTGAGTCCCCCATACTGCCATGCTGGGAAGCACAGATAAGGTTGTTCAAGAGCTGTCTTTCAGGGCCTGAAACTTTGGGCTCACACAGGGGAAGGGAAAGAAGGGGTGCTAGGCAGCCCTGATGATCTGGTTAGTTCTAGTCTGGCTGATGGGTGTTCTCTGAGGGCCTGGGGAGCAATCATCTCTATGGGAGAGCAGTTCAACCGCTGAGCTGATGTCACTTCCTGTCATGGGGTAATAACCCCTGCTTGGGGGTGACCTCATTGTGGGGTGGTCTGTGAGGCTCTGGTTTTCTGGAATCCCAGGGGCTTGCAGCTTTGGGGCAAGGAGTGGAGATGTCCATCCCTGGGACATCTGGGATGGGCATTGTAAGAGCTGGCCACTAGATGTCTTTGCAAATACTGAGGGTCCTGGCTCTTGAATAGGGATGAAACCAGTCTGGTAAATTTAGGGTGATACAGCTGCTCCCTGTGTGATTAGTATGACTTCCTGTGGAGCCGAGCAGGGCTTTGTCCCAGAGTCCCAAGGTAACAGGGGGTGAAACACAGGCAGAGGCGAGGAGTGTCATCCTGCCTTAGTTACCCCGGGAAACCTGCAGGCGCTCTCTGAGGCCCTGTCACCTAGGAGGCCGGCTGGTCTCCTCCAGCCTCAGGCAGGACCTCCTGTGTGGTTTGCTGTTGTTCTCTTTGGCCCGATCCTTGGGTCACCTTTGCAGAGCAGAGAGAAACCTGGAGAAGGAAGACACGTGACTGCCTCTCTCCTGCCCCAGCGTGGGCCAAAGGCTCTGGCTGCCAGTCTAGGGTCTGCTGTGGGTCCCTGGCTCACCCCAGGGAGCAAGCCCTGGAGGTCACAGTGAGACAGATGGAGGTGTCTGGTGCCTAGCACCCACTGCGGTCCCCTCTGCCACATCGGTGCTAAACCTGAGGCCTGTGCTCAGTGGAGGATCCCGGGACTCCATGAGGTCACAGTCCTTGTTCTTTTATTTTTTGCATTGAACTCAAGACCTCATGCTTGGCAGGCAGGCGCCATGCCACTGAGCTAAATCCCCACAATTGCAATTCTTATGGCAGCTGTGGTGTGTGTCCCTGGGATCCTCAGTTGCCCTTCAAAGACACTGGTGTGTACGCAACCTCACTACAGCTGGGCTGATTCTAAGCTGGCCTCCCCGGAGACTGAGAAACACCCTGGATTTTATGTCTGATGCTAACTAATGAAACAAAGTGATAGAAAGACAGAGGGAAGATCAGCTAAAACAAAATGCCAGTAGAATAAAAAAAGTGCTTCCTGATGTGGTCTTTTTCAGCCGGGCATGGTGTAATCCATACATGGTGTAAGGCACACATGGTGTAATCCCAGCATTTGGGAGGCTGAGGCAGGAGGATTGCCTTGAGTTCAACCCTGCCTCAAAGCAAAGCAAAACACCAGTGTGGCCTCCTCCATTTTCTTAGGAAAGTATTACACTAAACCCTGATCTCTGTTCCTTTTCCTTTCCTCCCTGGTTCCTTTGCTCCTAATCCAAGCAAAATATTGTTGACCACTGGCTACGTGTCAGACACTTCCAGGGGCAGGCAATATTTCAGTGAATCACAAGAGAGACACCCCTGCCCCCCATCATGCGCCATCATTGAGCTGCATCCCCAGACCCTCATTTTTTGTCTTGCTAGGTTGTCCAGGCTGCTAATGATCTTGTGACCCTCCTGCCTCAGCCTTCCAAGTAGCTCCGAATTCCAGGTGTGTACTACTGTGCACTACTGTGCTAATTTCAAATTCCTAATTAATCACAACGTGACTCTTCTTTTGCTGGTTCCCCACAGGAAAAAAAACCAGTGTCACCAGATACATACAATATGGGTCACTGAAGGCACAAAACACATATCAAATGGCCTGCCACCAAAAACTGAAACCTTTCACTCTAAAATCAGGAACAAGACAAGAATGTCCACAGTCTCCACTCTTATTCCACATAGTTCTGGAAACTTTAGCCAGAGGAATTACACAAGAGAAAGAAATAAAAGGAATAAAGATGGAAAGAAAGAAGTTAAATTATCATTATTCACAGATGACATGACACTCTACAAGGAAGACCCCAAAATAGCTACCAAAAGACTTTTAGATTTCAGTAATGTAGCTGGATACAAAGTCAACACCCAACAATCAATAGCCTTTCAATACATAAATAACAAACTCACTGAGAGAGAAATTAGGGCAACAACGCCCTTTACAATAGTATCCCCCAATGAAATATCTAGAATCAATCTAATGAAGGAAAGAAAAGACCTCTACGTTGAAAGCCATTGTATTCTGAAAAAAAGAGATTGAAGAGGGTATCAAAAAAAAAATCGATATCCTCTGCCTTGGGTAGGAAAAACCAATTTAGTGAAAATGGCCACACTTCCAAAACAGATTTAATGCAATTGCAATAAAAATTCCAACAGCATATCTCACAGAATTAGAGAAAACACTCCTTAAGTTCATCTGGAACCAGAAGAGACCTAGAATAGCAAAGGCGATTCTGGGCAACAATGGCAAGGCTGGAGGCCTCACAATCCCTGACCTGAAATTATACTATGAAGCTACTGTGATAAAAATTGTGGTTCTAGCAAAAAACCCCAAGGATCAGTGGAATGGATTAGAAAATGCAGAAACAATTCTAGACATAGTGGGGCTGGGGATTTAGCTCAGCGGCATAAGCATCTGCCTTGCAAGCAGGCAGTCGTGAGTTTGATCCCTGGTACTGACCAAAACAAAACAAAACGAAACAACAATTCCAGACATACTAGGACACCTTTTTTTTTTTTTTTTTTTTTTTTGGTACTAGGAATCGAACCCATGACCTTGCGCTTGCCAGGCAGGCACTTAAGCCACTGAGCTAAATCCCCAGCCCAAGACACCTTATTTTTGACAAAGGTGCCAAACACATTAAATGGGAGAAAGATAACCTCTCTAATAAAAGGTGCTAGAAAAACAGGCTCTATACATGGCAAAGATTAAAACTGAACCCATATATTTCACCATGCACTAAACTAGAATTGCAATGGATCAAAGATCTAAATGTTGAAACACAAACATTAAATCTGCTGGAAGATAAAATGGGTAAAACACTCAGACACTGGTGTGGGCAGAGACTCTATGACTTCTTGTGGAGGTCCGGGAAATTTGTATTTGTAATCTTATAGAAATGTGACTGGAATCCTGGCGAATTCATTCTAATCTACCACCTCCAGTGCCACCTACATGGAGAATAAAAACACTAAGACATGATTACAGTCTAGGCAGCCCAGTGGTCCCGAGGAGAGCTCATGAAACAAAGGCTGTGACCCAGGGCCTAACCCGGGTTTTATTAATTCGTGAAGAAGTAAGTGGCTGAGGGTGAGTGACGGTGAGAATGGCGGGGATCAGGTGAGTGCTGTGAGCTGAGTGGGGTAGAGGCCGGAAAGCCCCTCTGCAACGCACAGAGAAGAGGACTTGCCAAAGGCCAATCTGCACGCCGCCACTGAGGCAGCATTTAGGGTGTAGGAGCTGCTGCTTCAGCACTGCTGTGCAAACCTTCACTGCTGCAGAAAGTCACAGCCTCTCATCTGGAGGTCCCTGGAGCTGGCTCTGCACCCAGCGGGGCTCAGCCGCTTAGGGAGAAACAGCAACCGCCATCTGGTTTCAGAGATCACGCGTCAGCACCTCAGCCAGCCCTGTTCACGCTGCTCAGAGCCGGCCTAGCCAGCTCGGTACACAGCGCCACGTGGAGGCGGGGCCGGGTTTAGCCCGAGCGGAGGTGAGTGCTCTGCATTCAAGGAGAGTCGTCGTGGTGGTCCACACCTGAGCACATGGGCACTATCAGAAAGGATCGTCGGCTGGGGTCTCATGACGGAGCTTTTGCCCAGCAAGAGAAACCATCAACAGAGTGAAGAGGTAACAGTGTGGGAAAAAATCTCAGCTCTTCCTCAAAGGATTACTATTGAGAAAATATAAAGAACTCAAATCAGAGCCCCCAAATTTAAAGACCCAATCCAAAACGGGCATCTGAGACGAACACACACTTCTCAGATGAAGAAATAAAAATAATACATATATGAAAAAGATGTTCAGCATTCCTGATCATTCGGGAGATGCAAATTGAAACAGCACTGAGATTCCAGGATCAGGAAATCAGCTTATGACAAATGCTGGAGGGGATGCGGGGAAAAAGAACCCTTTGTCACTGTTGGTGGGAGTACAGACTGGTGCAGCTACTGTGGAGATCAGTGTGGAGATTCCTCAAAAAAACTAAGTCATTGCCCTCCTGGGTATCCTCCCAAAGAATTAAAGCATCATACCATAGCAATACATGCGCATCCATGCTTATATATTTTGTAATAGCTAAATCTTGGAAATAACCCAAGTACCCATCAACTGGTGAATGGATAAAGATGGATATTTTTATACAATGGAGTACTACTCTGCCATAAAGGAGAAGCGTGAGAAATTTCTAGGAAAATGGATAAACTTTGAGTCCACGCTCTTAAGTGAAGGAAATAGTCACACTTGTACAAACCCCGCAATGTTTCTCTGGTGTGAGAAAGTGGAAGTGTAAATAAGGACCAAATGTATAATAAATATGAAATAAGAAGGAAGTATTTCAATGGGGAAGGGAACAAAGGAGAGAGGAGGGGGAAAGGAAAGAAGGGAAAAGTTAAAGGGAAAAGAAAACGAAACAAAGCTTTTGTAAATTGGGAGAGGAGGAGGGGTTGAAAGGAGAGTCGGAGAATGGAAAAAAGTTATATCATGGACAGGTACAAATTTTCTACTATGTGTGTGATCATTTATACCTAAAATCTACCAATAAAATCTGACGAAAAATGATCTGCCACTGATTTCCTTGGGTGCCTCTGCCCTGATATCTGGGGACAGAAACTTACACGTGTGCTACCTGCTTGGAGCCCTTAACATTGTTTACTCTGAGTCAGGGCCTCTCTAAGCCGTTAAGTTGTCCAGGCTGGTTCCAACTTGCCACCCTCCTGCCTCAGCCTCCAGAGTGCTCTGGGAGGTGTGTGTCCCTCCTCCCATCTGGAACAGAAGCCTTTCACACTCCATCGCCAACCCTGCTCAGCCCGTGGCTGGAGCCAAGCTGTCCTCTTGCTTGGATTCTTTCTCCTTGGCAGCCCTGCGAGGTGGCACTTCAAGCTCTGGGCTTGGGGCCACTTGGTTTTGGCAAGGAATTCATCTTGGGACGCTGCAAGGGTGCTGTGCCACTCTGCAGTCCTGCTGTTTCTGGGGAACTGGTTGCCTGAGGTGTGGTGGTGCATATGCCGGCCCCGCATGCCTGGAGGTGCTGCCTGGGGACCAAGGTCTCCACAAGACCACCCCACCCCAGGTCAGGACCTGCCACAGCAGCTCCCGGCTCCTAGAGTCCTCAGTGGCCCAGGCCTGCTTTGCTGCCCTTGGCTCTGGCTCTAAGTGCCAAGGCAGGAGACAGAAAAAGCTTCGATTCAGGTGTCTCCTTTGGGCCTTGGCACGGCTCTGGCCCCCTGGTCACTCTGTCCCTGTCCTAGGCAAGGCCGTGTGCCAGGCTGCAAGCCTGGCAGGAGAGTGGCTGTCTTGCAGGGTGTGAATGGAGCCTTACCGGGACCTTTCAGCCCGTCCACAGTCCCTGGCAGCTGCAGGAGGAAGGGTTCTCTGGTCCTGGCTCTGTCCTTTGTCCTTTACCCCAGTCCATGTGCCTCTCCCACCCCGGTGTGGACCCCCAACCTCACTG